ATGCTCATCTGGTGAGATCGACTAATGAATCTCTTCTTCATGCACTTTCATACGAAATGAAGGTCCCTCTAACAATATTGTGACAGAATCTAGCAATGGAAATAGTGAGAATTTGTATGAATTAGGTCTCTTTTTGATTGTAACATGGGTATTATAATGACCAGGCCCTCGAACACAATGCGACTCAATCTACTTTAATGACTCATTACAATTTTAGATAATTAATTATAAATAGTAGTTATATCCCATGTTCTCATTGAATCGATTACTCAAAGATTTTTCAATAATAAACCAAATAAATGGTCCTGGGAAATTTATTTTAGGTCGATGACTAAAACCACGTTCAAAATGAAATAGAATCCTAAGTCAAGAAGTTAGATAAGACCTTGGTATGCTAGCTGAAATATTAAATAATTATTAGTTTATTCCATTAGGTCAAATTAATATAGAAATTCTAGAACCATGATAAATTTATCATTATATTGAGAGATATCCGTTTACAGGCATATTTGTATCGCTAAACTTTTGTCCAGTTAATTAAATCGCATGTTTAATTAAAATGTGCAATTCCTTAAACTAGAAATTGTCTGAATTTATAGAAGCATGGCAATCGGATTCTAAAGGCTTGTGATTTAAACATTACACAATAATCAAGTTAATGTAGATTTTGGTTAATCAGACTATATCACGGATAACTATGAATAAGTACATTATTATTTATACAAACGAGCATTCTAGACTCAAGCATAGGCAAGATTATCCTAAGAGAAATATGTCACCCTAGCACCTAAACCACATTAAGCAACAAATTTCATATTAAAGAATCTCTGATAGTCTCTAAACCTAGTTACAATTGAAATAAGTATATCATATCATAATATGCTAAAATTCGACGTAATTTTGGTCGAATGTTTTAGTAATAAAGCCAAGCCCTAGAGGTGAAAATGAATGCAATCTTTGATAATTAGTTACACTAATTATCGATTAACCTTGCTCTCGCAACTTGGTGATATTGGCAGAAGGACCTAGAGGAAGGCACATTGTTCAAAGTGCAATATATGCACAGTTTACATAGTAGGACCATGGGCAAGATACATTTTCAGACGTTCGCCTACATTGCCAGGCTAGAGATCTTATAACGAGAGGAGGATATACCGGAAGCAGAGCAGATTGAAAGAAGACGTTACCACGATTGATCAACCTGACAGTATCACATTTTATATTCAAAAAAAATATTTGGACTACCTATGGGATCTTCACCTCCATCTCTTTTAGCAAATGTGTACATAGACAAATTGAAAAAAGAGTTTGTGAATTCACAGATATATTTGAATGATAACTATGCACTTTAGTTACATGGTAAGAAAAATTTGGATATATTCCTCAACTTTGTGAACTAACTTGATGGAAAAATTAAATCCGAAATAAACGTGAAGGAGAATTGGCGATTACCTTTCCCAGATGATTAGGTCATTTGCTCCAACAGGACACTCAAGAAGAGAATTTGCAGGAAGAAATGAGATGCGAAAATAATTCGCAATTTTAAATCTCATGAAAATTGCATAGTAAAGATCAGAATAATGAGTTTGATCATCAGAAGCTTAAGACTAACTTAAACGCAGTTCTGGATCAAGGAGTTGAACAAAGTGGCTCGGAATTTTCTTAATAATGGATAACAGAGAAATCATAAAAAGAAATACAAAGGTCATACAGAAAAATCAACTTGGATATTGTAAGAATAAAAACAGGAATTGATAGGGCGACCAAAAGTGGAAACCCTTATTTGAATTGAGTCAAAAATTGCGAGCGTTAGTAAAAAACAGAATATCAAAGTGACGATGAAGGGAAAAGCAACATTCTTCACCATCCTTCTAACGCAACACGAGAAGGTTGACATATTGGATTGCTCGAGGGTTTATCGCATAAAATGCGACAGCTATGAGCAAAAGTATATTGATGAAACAGGAAGAAAAATTAGATTACGAATTAAGGACATCAAAGACTTTACAGACATATGGACACTGAAAGATCCGAGATAGTAGAATACATTTCACAGATGGGACATAAAATCGTCAGAAAGGCTGGCTGCATTTGGTGAAAATACAAGAAAACGCAAGATACGAGAGACCATAAATTCCTGACTTAAGAGATCTAATGTATAGGAGACTTGAAGAAGGCATGATTAGCGAAAACTTTGCAAATTGCTTAAGCAAATTTGGAGGAACGACTTGACATTATGAATAGAAGAGATGGAGACCAGAGATAGTTGGGTAATAGTAGACAGGTTTTATCATAAATGTAGTCCGTGAAATAAAGGCTTGACGATGAGGTTTATCTAGTGTATATGCCGAACGGTGATAAGGGAATCTGCAGCTTCAAGTTAGTTTTGCATCTGGCTTTAGAGTACAGACTTTGGGGTTTGCATAGTGAGGCTGGAAGGGACGTGCTATCAAAGTCTTGAGGCAGAATGTGAATCATAAGGTCTCATCTAGCATGGATATGGTGGCAGTGATCAATTGGACTCACTGAACCAGGGAGGTAAAAGACCGACTACCAGACAAGGGGAAGACTTTGATAGGACCTGGAAGAAGAAGATAAATATGGTCAGACTTGGGCAACACTCACAGCACAATGGGGAAATTAGCGGACGAAAGGGGTGTGTGAATATGTCTCACTGAATTATTTTAAAAAAATCAAGTAATAAATGATAATAGTAGAGGGGTGATACGAGGATATAGAATAGGTGGATACACCAG